GCCCGCCATCTTGGATTTAGAAATGAGTGCCATATTCGTAATGAGCATCCCCAAATACCTCGAAAAGGATACCCATATAGCATATTTTGAAAAATCGTGTCCGCCATCTTGGATTTACAAATAAGTGCTATATTCGTTTTTCATCGACAAAACCGAGCATATCTGTAGGCACCTGATCGACAATGTCGGGCAAATCTGTAGGCACCTTTAACTTAATGATGAGTTAAGCAAGATACAATTTCCCCACTTTTGAGGGAAATGTTATTCCATGGCATCATTATTTGTATATTTGTGTGCGTGCCGACGAGCGTAGTTACAAGTTGCTTACGCCTACATGAATTTAGTTTTTGCCTCACTTGTGACAGTTCGTTTGATATGAAACTATCATTCTATGCGTTATTATTCTAAGATTATAACCTACATATTAAAATTGTCTAGTGAATAAGCACGTTTTTGCCAATTACTGAAAATCAGGTTTTTTAAATTTTTTTTAAAGACCTATGGATTTTTTTTGGTTAATGTTGTAATTTGAACTTGAATATTAAATTGACCAAAAAAATCCATTGATATTAAAAAAAATCATTATAAAACCTGATTTTCAGTAATTAGCAAAAACGTGCTTGATGCCTAGACACTTTTCATTGTAGGTAGAACATTTTGTTTCATGGAAACACTGTTTTATTTTTAAAAGTAACTAATACTGCGGTGATTTTTAAAAATTCGCTTGCCTTACTTAAAAATCGGATCGACTGGGTGTGAAAAAAAAAACATTGTGTGTTTTTATGATGCCGATCGAAAGGGTCATTCCTTTTAAAAATAAAATGGCTTGGAATCATAGCTCCCAAACGACGGAACTGACTTAAAAGTTCATCAAACGAAAAGAACCCAGCCTACTCGACGGCTCACTGACTCACTCGTAAAACATGTAACTCAGTGAACCTCCAGAACACTGCTGCATCCATCCTGTCCGCTATCATATTCAGGATCTCGTTGCTGCTACCCCTCACTCTTCGTACTATTGATGTGGACATTTTACGCATGATGGCGTAGAAATCGTCCACAGCAGCATCTGCGAACATTCCAGATGCCGAAACGGGAAAGCCTGAACAAGACCCTGAAGGAGTTATTATATTGGACTTGCAAGGCACTGTACGATCCCAGTGTAAAGTTGGACCACAGAGCACACGTGTAGATGACTTTGATCTGGTGCTGCAACCAGGATTGCCTGCATACTATCTAACTCCTCGCCCACTTACAATACAACTATCGTGTTTGGGCTAATAAAATTGCTTTTAACTAGTATTACCTTACATATTGTGATTTTATTAGCTTTTTGATATACTCTGTTCCGTGTCGGGTTTTTTAAATTTTAGTTTAAGTTTTATTTAATGATCTTGAAACAAAACGTATCTATTTTATAAGTTCATGTACTTTTCCAGGACAACTTACTTGATGATAAGGCTCGTAAGCTTTCCACAGAACAGATTTGTGGCGATCGAAGGTGTCAATGCTACGGATAAGGATTGGTTATTCGGTTGTAACACGAAATTCATTTATCAATCTCATCGATATTGGTACGTTTCTTTTGTTTTAAAAAGGTTGTACGTATTAGCTCTATATATAAAATAAACGCAACTCTATTCACTAGAGTACATATCATAAGGCCAAAGTGTGTGATTTGCCACACTATTAGAAAAACTGTTCCAATATTTCGAGTTCTTAGGTTTTCGCGATTGATACACGTACGAAATGAAACTACTTTTCCGGATTTAAATCGCGTATATTTGTTTTTTCAAATAAACCGTAGTTTCGGGCTCTTTACAGGTCCCATGGTCACGGTTGACTGACCATGGGACCTGTAAAGGGCCCGATTCCAATATTGTAAAGTACATAAAATAAAATTAGCAATTGTATGAGAGAACCAAGAAATAATTAAATTTTCAGAACGCGAAAAAAGAGGGCTTCAAGACGACGCATATTACCCAAAGTTCCGAAACACAATAATTTGTATGGTAGAAAAGTTTTGGAATACATTTTCCCCGAAGTATTGATTAAGTTACCTGAAACTATTGTACAAAAAATAAAAACAAAAGCAAATAAAAAAGTAATAAAACTATATCTTCCTTTCAATCAATACAAATCCGGGGATGATGTGTGCAAAACATAGTATGTATCCATTGTAACTGTATTTACGTTATATAACAAAAACCATACGATAAGCTGAATTAAGAAAAATGCAATTGTGGTTCATATTAAAATGCCTAGTGATGTAGATATAATGCGTGTCGCACTGCTATTGCAATAGTGTTGTAACTCAAAATACGTGACATTCAAGTTTATTATTATTATTGCTGAACGAAAAAGTTTGGTCGTCTTTTTAGTGTTCATTAGTGCATTTTATTATTCAGGAACTCGCCTAATATCTACAGTCATAAATGACATTTTTAACAAGTTATGATATATCTCTGGTTGATTTTCAGTAAACATGCAACGTCACTACTTGAATTATGCCGCTGGACGGCCTCTGCAGACAAATCGAAAAGAAAACTGGCTACCGTTAATCTCCATAGAATCAAAGATGAATATCCTGACTGGACACATGTTATTGTTAAAGTGGCACCTACGAGAAAACCGGTAGGTAAAATAAATTGTACTAGATGGACAAATGCCTCCATTACATGTAATGTTTTAGATTAAAACGCGAAGGAACTTAGTATAGTGGTGATATAATCACTATTCTAGACACCAAGCTCTTAGGGCGCTTATAAAAGCGCTGCAGCCGCGTCACTACTAATTTTCATACAATATTGAGAAGCGCAGTTGCAGCTCCACAGTCGTGATACGCGCGCGCCACTTTGGCAGTCACAATTAGTGAACTAAAAATTACTGAAGCTCTATAGACGCGCGATTGCCGCGCAACAGTCACGCCACTGCATCGCTCCTATAGGGGCCTAATTTGAAGGCCTCTTAAACTCTTTCAGGTTGTTGCAGTTGTAGCAAAAAAGTGAACAAATACGTTATGTTTATGTATTTGTTTATGTTCATGATTATAGGTATAATGTTTTTAAACAACCGAAAAAAAGAATGACAATTCAAGAGTCAAGTAGATAGATCAGGTATATGCGATGGAAGCTGTTGCATAGGTTACTATAAATTCTTTTTTGTGATCTTCATTAATAGTTACGTAATAATAATGCGCCAGATAACCACATCAATTGCCTGGTCTCCAACTAGTGAATTCCCTGTACTATGTGTACCAGAGCAACGGAACTCTCAGACCAGAACCAATTTAGTAAAGTTCATTTCCTAAATTGATCCTACCGAGAATCGAACCCGGGACCTTCTCATCCAGTGCCCACAGCGCAAACCTGTTGGGCTACCAAGGTCGTCAATAACTATCTGCTACATTTTCATTCCATACTCAAAAAGGGATTGGTGCCAGTGTTCTTTCAGCGATGGAAACTAAAAAGAAATGAACTCATATATTTAATCGTATTTCAGATTGTTCTAAACGTGGATATCAACGATCTTGCTTCAAGACAGATAACGGTAAACCTTCCATCATTCTTATCTTTTGGAAAGTCAATAATAAAGGAAGAGACCGAACAAGACAGTTTATACTATGAATTGATATTACCCGGATTTTATAGTATACATCAAGCGTATCTACTTTACGTAGAACCTACTGCCAGTTGCAAAGTGGCGTCTTATCATGTATCTGCAGAAGTACATGTACCTTGGGCGAATAATAATGAATATTATCACTTTTACACGTAAGTATATTTTAGATATAAATATATTAGGTAATTATATATTTAAAAAAACATTATTCGGTGGGAATTTTACCCCGAACAACTGTAGGTTTAGTAGTAGAAGAGCTCCTTGGAAAAAGTTCGTCCAGGGTAGTACTGCCACATTACCTATTTCTGCCGCCAAGCAGTAATGTCAGCATTACTGTGTTCCGGTTTCGAAGGGTAAGGGTGCTGGTGAAATTATAGACACATGAGACTTGTCAACTTACGTCTCAGGGTGACGTCAGTTGCAGTGCTTCGCAGCAGCTTAGGGCGCAGTAGCAGTGCTTCTCAAATCTTTGTGATTTAAAGCTCTAAGTGGCACTGCAATTGTTATTTTCGTCCAGTCACTTGATATTATAAAAAAAATCTGGTTATAACTTTATTTCAGACATTTGAAACGTTCGCCAATGAAGTTGAGACTGTATATAAGCAATCCTAATGTCACATATGGATTAGCTTCTACAGAATATGTCAAAGTCACTCTTTTATTGGACCCTCAATGTACTTTTACTATTAGGTAAGTTGTTTAGATTTACAAATGGACGTAGTTAAACAAAAAGGATTAAATGCACATCTAGTCGCTTTCGAGATATGGCAGTTTGAAGTTTAAAAGGGTTTCTCACTCTTGTTTTATTTTCAAAACTTATATTGTCCTGTAACTCTAGAGATATTTATTTATGTTTATATGTTGGATTTTTTTTTGCTGATCTACGAGGTTAGAGTTTGGGAACCGTTTGGTAAATATAACTAATTTTTTTGATAATTTTGTGGATTAGATCCTTTTTGCTTAACTACGTCCAAATGTTTTCAAGAATCTGATTATTACGAAGCCAATGTTGGACAATTCAATCAAGTCGTAAGATTAGTGTCTATTTGACAGGTAATGTTATAAATTAATCGATATTAATTTATAACATTACCTGCAAAAAGCATACACATAGATTTTATTAGAAATGCACATATTTTTATACATTTTTGATGTGTGCTGAAATGACACAATGAATTCAAACACTTTATACATTACACATAAATTGTTTTACAGTATAACAACGTCATGGTATAATCGAATAGCTCAGTTCGTCCGAAACTACACGCCAGTGTTGATACCCTACATCGCAGCTATACTTCTTTTAGCTGCTAGAAGTAATATATTACATTTGAAAGAACATGGGTCTTGTATCTCCATACATGGATCACTAATGAGTGAAGGAGTCAAGCCTTATTATGCTCTGGTATTTGCTAGATTGGGCACTATGTTTTTGATGTAAGTATAAAAAATAATATTTTCAGATTTAATTTTTAAAATACTTGACTTTTTCAAAAGACTTTTTAATCAACGCAAAAGTGATTTTTTTTTACTTTTGACACGATATTACACTTTATTTTTACCAAGTACTGTTAAGTTCACATTTTTTTTTATTGGTAGAAAATGCATTATGACAACCCGAAACAAAATTTACTGAAAAGCGATTTCTAATGTTATTCCCATTTCCCATATGAGAATATAATAATGTACAAATACTCGTACATGTATGCTATGGCAATATACTCTCGATTCCCTGCCAGCCGACCTATTTAAGCCCCGAACGCTTTAACTTGGGCCTTTTCAAGGCGAGAGAGAATAGGCATCCATCACGTGAGACGAACTTATTTTTTTATAAAAAAATAATACACAAACTACCAACTTGTGTAACTTGTTTTTTGTTCTGGACAGTTAAATAAATGTTTTTGTATTTTATATTTTTGTTTTTTATTTTAAATAATCTAAACGACCGCAATCTATCGCGTTTTAAGTATTTTTATATTTAACGTATTTCAGGTCAGTACCTCTACTAGCATTTCTACTAGAAAATTCAAGTTGGAATAATCTAGAACTGCAGTATTTTACCCGATCTCTGTTGGTGGTGCCTGGGTATATGATTGCGCTGGGAGCAGTCAACATCGTCGCAGCCGCTATACTTGCTGTTATGATATTCTCTTCACAACTCGCTCATAAACTTTTGTTCAGGTAATATGAAAGATTTTTTAAATGTCGTAACACTAAAAATGTTTGATGTTTTGCTTTGTTAAAGAATAGTTAGCTTCGATCTCAAATCTGAAAATTTCAAAGATATGGCCAATGTACGGGAATGTTTATGATGACGCGTTAGGACGGGTTTGCTGCTACGGTTAGAAAAAGATTTTCATCTTTTAGGGCCCTTCGGTACAATCGGTCTACTTTCCCGATCGGTCCAGTTTCACTATTCGAGTACTTTGCCGATCGGTGCACTTGTCCAGATGGTCCACTTTCCCGATTCGTCTATTTTCCTGATCGGTCCACTTTCACTATTCGTCTACTTTCCCGATCGGTCCACTTGTTATACGCGATTCGTCCATTTCCCATTTCATCTACTTTCCCGATCGGTCAACTTGTCCAAATAGTCTACCTTGCAAGTTAATAAAATTTTATGTAAGTTAATAAAATTTTACAAAAAAATATTCGTTTTACAAATTTTCAAAGGCAGTTTGTAATTGTAAGTTTTTTATATTTTTGGTAACGATAGCCGCTTTACGTTAACCGTGATTTGAAAAAACAATCAAGTAGATAGTTTGTTAATTAAATTTTATTGAATTGATATTCAATTATTTTTTGTGAAATTACTCCACTAGTTTGTTATAATTATTAATACAAAGATCGAACACTCGAACAGTTTGTTTTTAATTTTAAAAAGGAGGAAGTTCTCAATTCGACTGTATTTTTTTATGTATGCTACGCGATAACTCAACGGCAATTGTTCATTTTTTGTTGGAAAGAGGGTACAGTCAAGAGCATGTCTAGCTTGACACTTTATACTTTGGACCGTTCTTACCGTAAGCGGCATAGAGTTTGATTTAAATCTTAAGTGTCAAGCTTGACGTGCTCCTGACCTTTGTAGTGGTGCATTTAAATTTTAAGAAAATATTCCATCTCTAAGGGTGGCAAACTAGGGCGTGAATCCGGTTTTTTTCAGATTTCAAGAAAACTTGGCAAACTTTTGAGGTCGTTTTTTTAGCACTCTGTACTGAGATTATCTGAGTTGACGCATCATTAAAGTAGACCTATCGGGAAAGAAGACCGATCGGGAAAGTAGACCGATCGGGAAAGTAGACCGATCGAGAAAGTAGACTGATCGGGAAAGTAGACCAAATGAGAAAGTAGACCAAACATGAAAGTAGACGAAATGGGAAATAGACGAATCGGGAAAAACAAGTGGACCGATCGGGAGAGTCACCACAAAGGCACCTTCAAATTAGACGCTCGTAGAAGCGTTGCAGTGTCACAACCGTGGAATTGCATCTGCGCTTCTAAATATTGTATGAATATTAAGTGTGAGGTCAGACGAGCGCCACTGCAGGGCTTCTACAAGCGTCTAATTTGACGACACCCTTAGACAGAGTGTTAGATAGCACTAATGACATTATAGCTGCTATAACTCGCAGTTGCGTTATCCATACTGTGACTGTACTGTTAGAATTTATTAATATTTAATTTGATTTTGGATACAAAATTTGTGAAATGAAATCATTTATTTATTTCTTGTCATTCTATGGATATGTCCGATATAAACGTTTATTATTAAATAAAACTGCAAGCTGTGTTAGAGACTCTCGTGAGTGATCCCCTTCATCGCTACACGTATAGAAAAATGATAATTGGCCATAATGTCTCTCTATCCTCCGTTGGCTAATAAAGTGAATAAACAAAGCATTTTAATAAATACCGTGAAACGAAATTCTTAATATTTAATAACTTTATATAATTATTTATTGAGTTTCTTTGTACTCGTAGTATTCACTAAATATTGTGTGAAATTGTTCTGTCTTTCTTTACATACATAATTTAACATAATTTCAAAGACTTGAACTATAAAAAACTTAAAGAAGCAGAGGCTCCAAACATTGCACCGAAACTTTTAGTGAAACTATTTTTCGGATCTAAATGGCGTTCTGGCTGTTGTTGGTTTGTTTGAAAAAGAAAAACTAATATAGGCGATAGATTCATTTTCTTTGTGTAACAATTGCAAAAACCTAAGAACTCGATATAATTATTATCGTGTCATTTGTCATTAATTCCCAGGATGTTTTCCTTCACTGTAATTTCTTAAAGAAAATGGTTTATGATCTCTGTTTCTTTGTTACAGTTTTTGTAATTCTAAAAAACGGAGTGTAGTGTGATTTCGTTTTTATTTTTATAATAACTAAGTGACTCCGCCTGATGGTAAGCGACATGCCTGTCCAGAAAAGTTGCAGTACCACTCAGAGCCTTAAATCTGTCACTGCCTTCGACACCCTGAGACATAAGTTGACAAGTCCCATGTGCCTGTTATTTCACCAGTTCCCTTACCCTTCGAAAGCGGAACGCAATAATGCTCACATTGTATATGCGGCAGAAATAGCTAAGGTGGCAGTACTTCCCTGGACGAACTTCTTCAAAAGGAGCTCTACTACTAAAAAAATTAAATAACTAATGTATACCATGTTACAGAATAATGTGGCGAGGAGGTACGGGTCTCGCGGAGAAAGTGGCTTCTGGGCTTCAGAAAGTACCGATGGTGGTGAGCGCGGCACTAGTGTGCGCAGTACCATTATCGTGTGGTGCTGCATCGCTGGTGGCTGGAGCTGCATTTTATGCCTTTATGGTAAGCGGTTTTTATACCCCTTTTTTTTAAGTTCCAATGTACCTATGGACTCATTTTGTGCGTCTTACGGACTATTTGAGATTATAGGACCCGAGAACTGAATCTCAAGTTATTAAAACCATACATGACCTATAATCCGATGATAATCGACATGTCCATTGTCCTTGATTAGGTGATTGATATTGATCAAGCTAATAAGATGAGTTCGTGTAGCGCAAAAATTCTATACATTGTAATGTAATTTATAGATGGGGAGAGAATAATTCTGTGAAATGGATGTTCTATTATAGTATTTTAAATTTGGGTGCACTCTTCCACAGCTATCAAAAATGTACGAAGAGTATTTAGAAGATTACGTCTACAAGTTAATGGCAAAAGTGGCTGCTCGATTATGTCGCATATTTAAATCTAAAAAGAAACGAAACATAAACGAAACTGAAACTAGTCTAGTTCTTAAAGATTCTCTTGACCATAAAGCCATTGAACCTAGTGCCAATGACAATAAGATCAATAATGAAGTAGCGCAGATTGATAAAAAAGATGATAAACAAAAACCAAATGACGTAACACAACATGAAGACAAAAAACAAGACAACGAAATAAACAAGGAAGCAGGTGAACAAAAATGTAACATAATTAACAAGGATGGTGATGTAGATGACGATTTGAACAATTTGAATTTCCATATGATGATGTTTTTTATGTGGATGTGTGTAACGCTTGTCAATGTGCCCGCATTGCTCACTTGGGCTAGAAATTTTAAGTAAGTACAAAATTTAATACATCACCAATATTTTACAAGAAAAGCACAATTTTTTAATGACTTCTCATACAAATCGAACCACAGTTATTGTTGGTTTGTAATACAAAAGTGCTGTTTTTATTTCTCATGCAAACTCATACTCCTACAAATCCCATTCTCAATAATATAGTGACATCGTTTAGGAAGTAACATTTTTGGGGAACCAACAAAATTAATTTGAAAAATAATCGTTAAGTAAGGCAACATAAGTCGAAGCATGTATGTTTTAAGCTTGAAGAAAATGAGATGTATTTTTATTTTAAAATATTAACGTATAATTTGTAGATTCATTCATTTTAATTTCTAGAAATAGTAGATTTGACCGTATATTATTATTATGTTTCTTTTTAAATTATTATTATCATCATTTGCATTCATATTCTATGTCGTTTGCAAGTCACTTGTTTTAAACACACAAACAAGTTGTTTAAGAACAAACAAGACCAGCACGCGTGCGCGAAAACATCTTCCCGCCATATTTGTATGTGATTTACGGGTAAAAATATTGCTGTTTTTGCAGGAAAATGTCGTCGTATCCTAATAATGAGTTAGTTTTGTTATTATTGTTGTTTTTTTTTATTTATCATTCTTATATCATCACCAGTACGTTTACACCAGTACAGAGCGTCACGGGGATTACATACGTCGGGTCATAAATAAAACCTCATGGTATGACTAGTTATGATAAATATCCACTTACTATAAACTATTTGAAAAATTGCCCCATTTCGTCGGAAAATTCTCCAGCAATATACAAATAACGGAATGAAATATTATTTTACAGATACAGTATGGTATTAAAACCCGATACATCGTATCATACAGGGTTTGTTATGTCCGCGTGTTCAGCTTGTCTTTGGCAAATGAATGGACCCCGGAGGAATTTGTAAGTAAACATATTTCTTTACAAGTTTATATGAATTATAAAATATAAAGTTAATGTGTGATAAAATGGACGTTTAATGACGGTTCCCAACTATATAGTTCAATACTATGACAACAGATGGCGCCACCACGCAATCGCTTACTTAATCAAACATCTTATACCTAATCAATCAGTTCTACGATTTACTGAATTAATCACGTGTCCAAATTTACTATTATACGCAAATGTATACTTGGCTTATTTATTTATCACTTGGTATTTACGTATAGTTTTAAATATCTAGACCATTAGGGCTGCGAAGCGACATAAAGCGCGAGATCTCTATGCAAAGGCCAATATAACTATTCCTGTGTGAAAATATATCTCAGTCATGGTTGAATATACAGCAAAAACACTAGTACATAGGGCGCACTACTTAGAATAATAACGCATAGAATGATAGTTTCATATCAAACGAAC